ACAACAGGATGGAGAATTCAGTGAAAACCCATTGCTCTGGAGAAAGGGTTTGGACCTACCTTACCACTTTGACAAGGCCTTCGGAGAATCTGCTGCCAGCATTTTAATATCCTGTAATTTCTGGCTTGTGCAAGGAATTTTTCAGTATCACCAAAGGCAGAAGCTTCTGTGGGGAGAATCAGAAGTGTTATAAAATGATGTACCTGTGGATGCAGGAATGTAGAAAGTCTGTAGTATATAGAACTCCAAGTTACTGTGCTTCATTTGTCTTTAGCTGTAATACTGGAGGCCATTGCGTGCAGTCACAAGCTGGGTTTGCAAAGAGAAACACAGCCAAGATCCGGGTCCTCCAGGAGGGGAGGGAGAACTGCCAGGGAGCAAGCAGCTCAAACTGGGGCAGAAGTTATTGTTGTTATTGCTTAGAGGAAAAATGGAAAATGCTGAAGCAGATTTAAGGAAGGATCCTTTTCAAATGGCATTTGCTCCTTAAAATGGGAATGCAAGCAATGCAGTCAGCACTGTTTCTCTGTATTGTTTTAATGGTGAACTCAATCTGGGAGTAATGGCAACCTGTGTTAGTGATCTGGGGAGCAAAATATGCTTCCTGAAGATTTGGGACATGGAGTTGAGAGGGACTTTCTGGTTCCTGGAAGGCAGCTGTTCCATGGTGTCGCAGGATGCTGTTTATACCAGTACCCCTTGTTCCCTGTCCACTTCCTTTTGGGGTGCCATTTGCTGGGGTTGTGAGGGCATTTACCCCAGTTCCTTACTGTTGTACCAGTGAGTAACTTTGTGAGAGATGAGGATGCACTTTGCTATTCAACCTTAGCTGCTTAGATCAATATCTGCAGCGGGAGAGTGATTTTAATAAAAGGACTCTCTCTCAGCTTTCCTATCTCCATGACAGATAGACCCCAGCTAACATAAATCCTGCCCTTTCTCCTGTCAGTCTCTTGGCTTTGTGTGACATAGATGTTTTGACATTGAATACAAATATTTCACAGTTGGCTAATAGTTTAGAGCATATATTTAAGAGATTTACTTTTGCAATCACCTGGTGCCTTTAGTGAATGTGTTTGCCTTGTAAGGCGTTTCTGTTTGGAGAATATATTCACACACTCCCAACATATTCCTTTTCTGTTGTTTATGAAATATCACTGAGGGAAAATGAGTTTTGCTTCGGATAACGGTAGTAGGGAGCCCTCTCCTAACCTCCTCTTTAGCAATGAGAACCTCCAGTAGCTGCGACAAACCTTATTTATCAGTTGTCAGGAGGGATGCAAAAGGGTTTGCCATGCTGACAGCTGGAAGCACCAACTCTGTGCTGGGGTAAGGAGCAATGCCAGGACCAGTGCCGTGCAGTGGAGAGCTGGGCGAGAGGTCCGGCAGCCCTGGTGCAGCCCCTGGGACTGTCACCTGGCCGAGGAGAGCTGAGGGCTGTCTGGAAGGGAGAAGGAGGTTTTAGGAAATCCTAACGCTGCTCACACCTGGGCAAGGCACGTTGAGGCGAGCTGTGGTGTTCGTGGTTTGTGTTTGTGAAGTTTCTGCCCACCAAGCGGCAGGTCGTGCAAAACCTCTGTGTGCGTGTGCACAGCTTTAGCAGTCATCTCTCCCCTCTGGGTAGCCAGAATAGAAACCTTTCTTGGTTAATCAGGTGTTTTTAAACTTCAGTTTAGCTTGCAATAGTGGCTCTGTCATTCAGTTCTTTCAGCTGATGAATTCGTGACCTTTAGCCACTGTGCTAATGCTTCTAATTGTAACTGGCAGGACAATTTCCCCGTTGCTGTTGTATGAGAGATGCAGAGAAACTTGCCAAGAGCAGCCTGTGACTTTTAACCACCATATCAACACCCCTGATTGAAACTAAAATGGCAAGTTAGGCCAGTGATCAGCCCAGCAGAGCAACCTGAGCAATTGCAACAGCCACAGTAAATGAGAAAACTCATCGGGGATTTCCTTTCTTGGGCACCCTCCCTGCACTGAGGTTTGGGCAGTTAAAGCAGCTTTGTCAGGTATCTGCACTGAGGTGGTCTTGGCTGTGCTGAGTGTGATATAGAGGAAAACTCCCTTCGAGGACTCAGGGAATTAGTTTGGGCTGGAAAACCTTAGTTCTGCAAATACCTGTATTGCCTCTGTCAGAGGAGGCAGGAGCTGGAGATGGCTGATGGGGACTCGAAGGAGAAACCCTGTGAATATCTCATCTCATTTCTGCTTGGTTTTTGGAGAGGGAGTGTTCCATGTCCCTATGCTCTCTTTATGCTTGCTTTTCTTCTCAATAGGTTCACCCTCAGTATTTGATCTGTGTCCTTCACCCATTGGAATGATCCCCTTCTCCTTAATGGAAAGAATATTTTACACCCAAGAGATCTGGACAAGAACTGACTAGCCCTGGCAGGCCACGGACACCTGGCTTAGGAATGCTGTTATCCCGTGCTTTGTACAGTCCATGGAAGGGACCACACAGTGCTTTTGCACAACATATAGGTAGTACTAGGGGAATATATTTTATCTAACATCTAGCTTTCTCTGTCAGACACATTTGAATAAATGTTTTTAACAACGAAGACTTTGGCCAGAAGCATGTGTGTGAGAGTGAGGCAGAGATGAATAAATAGAATACGTGATGACATAAAGATTTTATGGGGTATGGGGATGGGCACATTACTCACAGATGGTGAAACCATCCCAGTATGTTTCAAGAAAAGCTATTTTAGGGATGTTTAGAGAGTTTTTAAAATTTTTTTATTGTCACTATTTTTTCTATTACTCCAGCTCATAAAACCAGGTGCCTTAGTTACCATGTTTCCTGCTGTACAGGGTTCAGAGGGAGCAATAAAAGCCTCTAAAACTTACCTGGAATAGCCTTCTTACAGTTACAGATGTCACAGGTTTAATGTTCTGTATCTCAGGTCCTTCCAGGCCTTGACATGATGGTAGCATTTGGAGGAAAGGGGATCTTTCTTCTCCCTGGCGGAATAAAATTTCTACTTTATAACCTATAGACATGCTGGATCTTTGGCTTAGAAGCTATGACAAATTTAACTGTAACAACCAGTGTTAATGATTCAGGAGGAATTTGCACTCCTTGGGTTTGGACAGCATAAGCTTGGGCAATTTCTTATTCGCACAGGAATTGTGCTCAAGTCCAGTAGTTCTCAAAAAAAGAAATCATGGTGCTGGGACAGCAGAAGGATGTCCTGTATAGGAAAGTTAAACCCTTATAGGAGGTGAATTGAAGTTGTAGTGATGTAGCGCATTATATACATACTTTTATTTCATCCTAAATTTTTTTGTTTGTTTGTTTCAGACTGTGTCACCTCTAAGCTAAAAGAACTCCAGTCTTTGGAAATAAGCATATCTGCTTGGAGAACCATTCTGCTGTAATGACAATGGTTCAGCTGTAGCTTTATATCTGATAAAATCTTCTTATGCAGGCAAATCCAATGCCTGCATGGGCTAGCATGGAAATCAGAGGAGGAAGCACAGTAGCTTTATTGCTTGGGTTGCATGCTATTCCCTGGCTAGGATAAATATGTAGTCTATTCTGATAAACAAGCTTGAACTCCTCCTTCCCAGTAATAAAGTTGTTAACAGTCATCTTCTGAGAGAATGGCAAATAATGAGGTAGTGCCTTAACAAGGCAATTCCTCAACCTTTTATAAGTAAAGCCTCGTTTCCTTGGAAAAAAAAATAAAAATCTCTAATCTGAATCTGCTGGGTATGGTGCTGCTATGAGGGTTTTTATTTTCAACTAAGTAAAAAAAAAAAAAGAATCACGGTAAACTTTGCATATTTGTTTGATGGATTTACTTTACCGCATTTTGTTTGTATGTGTGCATGTGGTTGTGTAATGGATCTTGTTGTTTTGCAATTGTTTTAGGGATCATCTCTGAGGTGTTGCGGATGAGGGAGCGTAGATTAAGAATAGCTGTACCCGGTCAGAGCATGGATCTACCTGGCCCAGCAGCCCGTTTCTGATAGCACCCAAAAGCAGATACTCAGCATTAGGAGGAAAGAGTAAGATCAGGCAAGCACAGAGGATCCTGCCCCTAAACGTGCTCTCAGCAGCCCATGGCTGAGATTCTGTTTTTGCATAATGCTGATTTAGAGAGTGCAGTGAGCAGTATTCTCTCTAGAGTCCAACACTTCACATATTTTCCTTGCCGGACTAATGGCAGTTTTGAGTCTTTTTGTTTTTCTCCAGTTTTCCAAACTTTTGCTGATAGAGAACCCTGAATTAATCTTCAGGCCTTTTGGGTATTGGATTACACTCTGCCTCGCTCCTTTCTGTGCCAGCAGTGCTGGAACTGGCATGGGATGCTAATCCTGCCGTACCTATTCACTCAGTCGTAGAGGAAAATGTATGAAAACAAATTGCTAGTCCAAGCTAAATTTAGATTTATTCAGTTGGAGTTAATTATAATCTTTATTTAGTCCCAAGTGATGCCTTCTTATCATACACTTATTATAGCTGAGAAAATTAATTTTTATTCTACCATAAAGGTGAATGTAATAATCTGGGTTCAGGGAAGGGATTACTTTAATAAGATTTATAGGCAGCCTTTCAGACAGTATGGTTTTATTACTATCTGTAGGTGGCCTTGCTGTACATATGTCTTTCAGTATTGGTGACTGTGCAAAACGCATGCAAGTGAAAAACTGTAGTAAGCACAAGCTCGGAAACTTCCACATCCAACTTATTTTTTGGCAACGGTAAGCAGGCAAAACATTTGACTTGCTTTGGAACACAATAATACAATTTATTACTGAACTTGTGGCCTGATCAGGGGTTTCATTCATATGCATAGTTTAATTTTGACTGAAAAATGTATTTTAAGAGACAAAAGATTTATGAGGCCTGAGATGTTGCTTTCAGGCTTTTTGGAAGCAGAGTTATGGGCCGACATAGGCATATGGTGTGGAAAGAGAAGCTTTAGTGAAGAGTGAGCCACCAGATCGGATGGGTCACTCCTTTGCCCATGGACATCTAAACCTCCCGCATGCAGCTCTGCACTGGCCACCTTTAGCAAGCAAGTTAACAGATAGAAATAGGCTCCTCCCAAGGGTGAGTTATCACCCCCAAGATGTAAGTGTCTAGGAGAGGATGAATGAATTCTGGAGATACCCTTTTCTGTGATTAACTGAAAGAGGAGGCTGGAGTGTGTGCTGGGCTTAGATACCCATCTAAAGTGAGATGTCCTGACTCCCACGGAGCGTGACCAGGATGTATAGCTGCAGTGAAACCTGGGTAACAGAAGTTTGACTGAGGCATTTGAGATAAGCATGTGAGACGTTGTCCCAAGCCTACAAAAGTTAATTAACCTCTCTTCAGTTTTAGATGTTTGGATTAAATAGACTTTTTAAAATTGCATCCTTTTTCTTGTCTTTCAAAACAAGCTGCCCGACTAGCAACATTTTGCGAAGCGAATCTCTGTCTCTACAAATATGTAATCAAGATTGAACGTAAGGACTGTAAACTGGTTGCAAGTCCTACATCAAGTTCTATCCTTACATCAAATGAGGATAAGAAGAAGGGAGAATGAGAAAAGCTTAAAGGGATCCTATAATCTTTTCTCACGCTACAATTTTTTATATGTTGACAGCTTCTGGGCTGACTTTAATGTTAAAAAAGTATTAGGAACTGGAACTCTTCTTAGCTCTTTCTTGCAGTGTCATTTATATCTTCAAATTATTCTGTTCAGCTGAAAAGACTGTTATTATGGTTTTTGTCCTGTGGCAGTGTGGTTCACTGTATAAGTACCTCAAATACTAAAGGAGTAAGGCTTGTTTTTGAATGGTAGGTGATGGAAGTTGTTCCTCAGTGGGACTATGGAGGATTTTTCTCCTCCTTTTCTCCTCCCTAATGTAGAACTGAGGAGATGAGTCACAGGATGGACTCTGAATGTGGGAAGTAAACAGTGACATCCTCCTTTCGTGGTTATTTTACTAAATTTTGAATGAGTCAGGGAGAGCATCTAGGCTCCTTAAATCTCGCACAACTCAAACTTATCCTACTCGTAGTGCACAAATGAGGTCTCAACTTGTGGTAGATTTTCACATTGTAATCATCATCCTCATTTTCCTGCTGCCAGGATTATAGGAGTCAGAGTTTCCCCAGCTGTAGCCAGCCAAATCACCTTGCACAATCTCTCGCTGCTGAGGTCTCTAAACAGCATCAGGTCTTACCCCTTGCATGCATGAGAGAAAGTGACCTACACAGCTGGTGAAGAGTTAATTATTGTCCTATAATTTATCAGTTCAAGAATAGCTTTCCTTGTGTAGACACCCTATTCTGGGATACAGTGTGTTTTTATTCAAGGATAATGCCTGCATTTCCAGAGCAAAATAATTATTATGAATAGAGCCATTTTTATAGTGGAATAATGTACATGTGTAGTTTGGTCTTTATGGTCTTTAGTGAAGGCTGGTGGGAAGGGCTGGTGATTTTTCTCCTATACAGACAAGCCATTGATTGCTTCTGTATGAGTCATGGATAACATCATAGTACTTACTGGCACCACATTACTTGAAATTATTCCTCTTTTACAAAGAGGAGTGTCTGTATGATCTCACGCTACAATTCTGATGATGCTGCAGGAAAGATGAATTTTAACATTTTCACAGTCTTTCCACAGGTGCAGAATTGGCTTTCTTATTTGTTTTCAGAGAAAAAGGATATTGAAAAAGTTGCAATTTTAAATGCTTCTTGTTCCTCATACCTCCAACTTCAGAATTATTGAGGGCTTATGGAAGACTTGGCTCCTGTTAAGTAGTTAGCTAAAGTAGAGGGGAGATTTAGCTATGAAATTTGGATTTATGCTCCAACAGGACTTATTTTCCTTTTTAGTTACAAAATGATGAATTTTAAAGACTTTCCTCTTACTAGAGCTTAACATAGATGCATTAGTTTTTAATGCTGACCTACCACTGCCACCACTACCTTCTACTAGGATACTTGTTTTGCTTCTTATTAAAATGTATGAAATTGAAGAAACGTAGCTTGGATGAAATCTTGAGTTATGTGAATGGCAGATTTTTATTGCACAGTGTGACCTACAGCTATGGCTTTGCGTATGCCTTAGTCCTGCGCTGCTTTGTGTGGCATCAGTCCAGGGTCAAGTGAGATTAAAAACAAAAGTGATGGATAATTTTTTGGGTAAATAAAAAATTATCAAGACAACAGAAAGGAAGCTTTGTTTGATGTCTGAGCTGGTCAGAGTAAGGACCAGGAAGGGGCACATCCCTGATGCACAACATTGTATGGCTGTATGTGCATGGTGGCTTCCCCTCTCTCTCTTCTCGTCAGAAACATCAGAAGGGTGTTTTTTTTCCTTCTGCACTCTGAGTTTTCAGGATGAACTGGGCTATGAGGCTATTGCCCAACTCTGAAGAGAGGGGTTTTGGCATAAAATGGGAGCAATGACCTGTTGCTCTCGGGGTCTTGGTATTGGCTAGTCCAAGTAAGTGTTTTAAAAGGGGCAAAGCACCTGCTTGAAAAACTATTACAAGGTAAAAGTTATTTAGAAATTCAAGCTAAATATCTCAAGTCATGTCCAGCAACGTGTTATTTCCGTACATCTCCCCTCAATGCCCCTAATGCCACAGTAGCCTCAGAAACAGACTGTGTTCAGCCTTTGAGATAGCACTGGGCTCTGGGGATGCTCGTTTGGCTTCCATTTACTTTTCTGCAACTCTTCCTCTCTCTTGTTACATAATTAGGACTAACCCACTTTCTGATCTAATGTTCTGCTCTTTTGATCTTTCTGGAGTGCTTATTAAAGGGCCAGGTGATTTATTAGTTGCATTGTTGCACACCGGAAAGCTGGGAATGTGTCCTGTTTCTCATTGTTACTGTAAGGAGATTGATGCTGTGGTGCCGACGTGCCGAATTAAAAAGGCGGGGTGTTGGCCTGGCATCGCATGAAGTATTTCTTTCTAGATGTTCCTACAGCATCATAAAATGCTGCTAAATTCAGATATCATATTTTGTTACAGGCTGGTTCTAGGACAAAGCCCAGCCCTGTCTACTGGTGTTTATGGCTTCCCATATAAGCTTTCAGACAAAATTTGTGTCTCATTTTGTTTGAGTTACAGCAGGCTGATATCTTAGTCTTCATACCAGTTCTGAGAAGAGACACTGAATGTTGCCACTGTAATGAAACGGAGGAAAGGGAAAAACATACCTTTTAAGCTTCCTGTAAATCACTGCTTGAGACAGAGAAAATGTCTGCATAGAGGATGAGGGGGGAAAGTCCTATAATGTAAACACAAAGGTATTTAAGCCTTATCTCATTTTTGATTCCTCTTTAGGCTCAGGAACTATGTCCATGTTTAAATCTGTTCTGCAATTTGGTGTGTCTTGGGAGAAGCCAAATTTTAGCTCTTCTCCCAGAAATCAGGGGGTACTCTTGACTGTGCATCCTTTGCTTATCTGTATGGCTGCACAATATTTATGATAAATGCAACTTCTCAAAAGCATTGCTTTAAATGTAGCTCAATTTATCTACAATTATTTCAGGAAGGTGCTTGTCTGCCTTTGACTTCTTAGTGAAGAAACAGCACCCTTCCTCCCCTTGCTGCCTCAGCTTTCATAGGAGCAAAGGTCACTTTCAGTGACTGAGTTGTGCAAGTGCACAACGGCACAGCAAGCCATGCCATGTCAAGGTGCTCTATAAATAGCAGAGCAGTAATGGAGCTGCTAAAACATCCCTTGGTGACTTTGGTTCTAGAATTGGCATTGATCTCCTTTCTCCCTTCTCCTCCTGTTATGAGCAGGATGAGGTTTGACCTGCAGTGTGTTTCCCGAGCACTTTGTTATTCAGTGATGGGATAAAAGCATTGGGGCTCCCACAGAGCAGCACACCAAGCGGTAGTGGGGCATTGCCCGAGCCCTGCTAAACGGTGGTCACCAGCCTCTGCTCTTTGCCTCCATCCCTGTTGTAGGTTGTTGTGGGTTCCTTGCCTTGTGTGGCCTCCTGTGCCTGGTGCTAATGGGCAGCGGTGTCCATCTTTGCTACACAGCACCTATTGCTTTCCGTGGTGACTGTCTCACCCGTGCCTCCTGCTTCTTACACTACTTGTAGCTTGGGTAGCCTCTTGCCTGGAGGGACTACCTCTGTCTTCTTCCAGAATTGCTTATTATTACTCGCACCTTATGACTTCCCATAGAGAATTGGGGTCTATCAGTTTCTGTATGCTGCAGGGAGTGTGTTAGCTGCCCATTGTTCACATCTGAATTAAGAGATGTGGAAGGGAAGGGCTAAAATGAATTTTCTCCCCCAGAAAAATGGTTGACCCCTATGTGAGCTATGGTAATGTAGAAAGCTGGCCCGTGTCAGTGTTCGCATGAGGAAGGGAGGAGAAAGTTTCTCATCATCTGGGTTTCTGAATTTCAGCTGGGTGCCCAGGTCTGTGGCTGTGTGCAGCTGGGGGAAGGTGTTGCCTCCACTGGTGTGTTACGAGAGATGGGCTGAAGTGTTTATGCATGGGCATAAGAAATGAGAGGATGCCCAAGTGGGGCAAGCGCATGGTGGCTGCTCTGCAACTGCATTTGCTTGTGGAGCTGAGAGGAAACCCTGATCTGATCCCCATGTGGAGTAGTGAGAG